CTAGAAGGAGAGGGCAGTTGGAGGCGATCATGCTGGCAGGGGAGCAATTAGGCGTCAAGCAGGCCGGCAGGGGAGCAGTTAGGTGGTGATCAGGCTGACAGGCAGAAGCGGTTAGGGGCAATCAGGCAGGAAGGCAGGCAAGTGGTTAGGAGCCAGCAGTCCCGGATTGTGAGAGTGATGTCCGACTGCCAGTAGTTGGACATCCCCCAAGGCGTCCCAGATTGGAGAGGGTGCAGGCTGGGCTGAGGGACACCCCCCCTCCCGTGCACGAATTTCGTGCAGTGGGCCTCTAGTTTACTATATTCTCTTAATATTATTCTTAATACATCCAATAAACTCATTCATTCTAGGAATTATTGCAAAAGTTAAACTTTTAAAGTAGTTTTTTTCTGATCATTATAGAATTTTCTTTAATATTGAAAAGTATGAAAAAAATCCTCTCCAATTCAACTACTCAGAGGTAACTATTTTAGTACTGTGGTATGTTTTCTTCCTGGCTTCTTTTAAGTTTATATGTAAAAGTAAAACTGTATTAAAATAATTTTTTTATAAAATAAAGGTTATACTATACAGCTTGCTATCTTGTTTTTTTAATTAAGTATTAGAGCATGGATATTTTCCTTTATTAGTAACTATTTACTGAAAATATGGCTTCTAACTTTTGGATAGCATTTCATAATAAGGATGTAATTTCTAAACAATTATTTTCCATTTTCAGTCTTTTATGTAACACCTCAATGAACATAGTGAACATCCTTATACATAAATATTTGTTTCTCTGTGGTTGTCACCTTAGAATAAAAGTTTAATAATAGATGAAAAGTTATGAACTCTTTTAAAGGTTCTTGAGTTTTTCAAAATGCTTTCCAGAAAAGCTATATCAGATTACATTCTCAATAGCAGTGCACAGGGTATGTGCATTTCATCATTTGACAGTATTCACTATTATGTTTTTATGCAGCTTTGCCAAATTAGTAGGAGAGAAGTTGCATCTATTTGATCTGAAATTGCATTTCTCCTATTAGTGTGACTGAACACATACTTATTAGGTATTTGGTGTACATATGTGTGTGCATTGTCTCTTTATGTGCTTTGCCCATTTTTATTTTAGTAATTTTTCTTACCAGTTTATAAGAGCTCTCTATATTTCAATAAAGGATGTGCTGTAAATATTTTCCTAGCTTACAATTCAGATTTTTATGAATTTTTAACACTTGAACATATTTTTCTCTCCATGTACTTTTACTTAAACATTCATTCTGCACTCTTTTTATTATGCCCTCTTTTACACTCAAGTTTTTATTTCAGCTGAAATGTAATGTAATGTGACATGTTAAAACAATAGCCACCAAAAAATGTAAATATAGTTTTAGTTCACTTGTTTTGGGCCCTTCTCAGGGAATTTGTGTTGAGTATATTACATTTATAGAAATGGCATTATAGAGGTTCCATATGTAACAATCCTGTCTGAAGTATTCCTGAAAAGGAAGTTTTAAAATAGTTTGACTTTTTAAAATATTTTTCATTGATTTTTTTAGAGAGAGAGGAAGGGAGAGGGATAGAGAGGTAGAAACATTGATGGGAGAGGAACATCATCAATCATTTGCCTCCTGCATGCCCCCTCTGGGGACCACGCCTGCAACCTGGGCATGTGCCCTGACCAGGAATCGAGCCAGCAACCTCTTGGTTCCTGGGTTGATGCTCAACCACTGAGTCACACCAACCAAGCAAAATAGTCTGTTTTTAAAATGTTTCAAACATATAAGAAAACATACATATACAGAATTGTTCCCATTTATTGGAAGAAGTTGAGAAAGATTTCTGCTTCAAATTAAATGTACCCCAAAAATCTCACTGAAATGTGGGTTTATGTTTCAGGAATTCATGCGTATGATTGGCAATGACAAACAAGGACAGATGATTGTGTTTCATTTGATAGAACTCTTGAAGAATAATGGAAGATTACCAAGACCAGATGGATGCCCAGATGAGGTCACAAATTTATTTATTTTTTTTATCCATAGTAATCATACAATTTCTTGCTCTTTTAGAACAAGGACTTCAGGTCACTTGATCAAATTTAATTGATGAGCTTTTAAATAAATAGCATCCTATATAATAATCCTATATAATAAAAGGGTAATATGCAATAGACCAAATGGCAGAAAAACTGAACAACCAATCAAAGAGTAATATGCTAATGATATGCTAAGGTTGCTCAACTGTTCGCTATGACATGCACTGACCACCAGGGGGCAGACACTATGACCGGTAGGTTAGCTTGCTGCTAGGGTCTGGCCGATTGGGACTGAGCGAGATGGGCCAAACATGCCCTGGAGCCCTCCTGCAGTCCCTCCCTGGCCTGTTCGTGCACCGGTGGGGTCCCTCAGCCTGGCTTATGCCCTCTTGCAATCTGGAACCCCATGGGGGATGTCGGAGAGCTGGTTTCAGCCCAATCCCGCAGGCCACTCCCCTTGGGAGGGCACCAGACACAGGGCTCATGGCTGGCAAGTGCTGCTGCAGCAGCACGAGCCTCTCCCGATTGGGACTGATTGGGTGCAAACCTGTGGCAGGCACAGAGGGGCCGAGATGAGCACGAGCCGCAGGTAGGAGCTGCAGGCGGCGTTGGACTGCGGGTTTCGGCCCAATCCCTGCAGGCCACCCAGAGGGACCCCACCTATGCACGAATTCA